TTCGCCAGTTCAGATTGTAAATTCTTCGAACCTTCAACAACAAACCACTTTTGGTTGGACAATCAAGACATTTAATTTAACCTCTTGATAATATCTTTACGTCTGTCTGACTTGTTTATGCTATTTGCTGGACAATTTATGACTTCCCAATTTTCAATTAGCGTTTGTACAGCTGTATGAAATCCACAGGTTCTAAATCATATTTGGAAGTTAAATTACATGTCTTGCTTATAATTGGTTTCAGTATTAAACTTTCGATTTTAAAAGCTAGCATATGTGGCTCTTGGTTTTTGTAATGAGTTAGAAAACGACATTGTTTATGAAAATAAGATAATTGGATTGTCAACAAAGGTTTTACCTCAGTAGAGGTTAATTAATGGAGATTTTGTAATTGTACCGAAATATTTTTTTATGTATTTTGAAAAAAAGTAAAGCGAACGTTAAATGTGTAGAACTAACGTTAAAACTGCCTGTAACAATAACGAATACAATAACAATAAAGGTATTTTTATACTCACGGACTGACAGCTCTCTATAGTGGACTGGTCGTTGAAACCAATGAAATATGTAACACCAATAACACAGCAACAACAAACAAATTTTAATACAATTTTTATATACAAACTGAATGCTCTGTAAGTTTTTGAAAAGTTGACAGTATAGTTGGCTTAACATTAATTTAATATTTAAATAAAATAATTTTTACCGCTTACATAAAAAATGCAATACAGTATATCATTTTAAATGTTTTTTGTCCTGGGACGCTAGGCACGAGCCCAGGATTATTTTTTCACATAACTTCTGGCTATACCTAGGGGTTGCGGCAATTTTACTTAAGATAAAATATATTGGTGATTAGGCAGGATTTGAACCCGGGACCTTAGGTACTGAAGTCCCGCGATATAACCACTAGAACAGCTCGCCCCCCCCCCCCACCAAAAAATGTTTAATGATCAAAATAATAATATAAAACCTTTTTAGACTTGGAATTTCAATACTGTGGCGCCTTCTATAAATCTTCTGCCAGCCGCAATACATGTATGCTGTACCTTTTACCCTGACAACTGTTGAAGGCGTTCTGGATTATACATTTATTACAATTATTGTGTATATAAATATTGTGTCCCTGAATTGGCATAAGATATTTAGAAGTAAATATGTGTAATGAATATAAGTAGGATTTATAGACTTTTGAAATTATTTTACTTGGAAAACTAGTACATTAATTAATTAATGGTTAGACAAGCAATACAAAGGAATTGAAAGCCCAAAAAAGTTAATAAAGAAGCTGTACACTTTATTTCATTAGAAGGATTAAAAGTGACTTTTTAACCTAGAGTAACTAGACTTCTCATCCCATTGTAAATTTCAAAGCTCGTTTTCCGTGTCTAGTTCATGTTGGGGGCAGTGTGTCAATGAAATTTCGTTTCTATTATTTTAGGGTTACTTTTATGGTTTTATGCGTTACTTTTTGGTTATGAAACAAGGGGACGAGTTGTTGTTTATGATTTTATTATTTGGTTGAACGAAGTTTTTAATAAGTCAATAACAAGAATCAAATTGTAAACAAAACACGACATATATAAACCCTATATGTCCCCCAAAATGCACACGCCGGGCAGAACTGACAATAAAATATTCTTCAGCTGTTCCTTAAGGATAAGAATTTTACCAAGGGAGTATATTTTATCTATTGTGCATCTATAAAAAAATCAAATAATCAAAACATACAGGTAAATAAAATAACGGGTAGGTAAAATAGTTCAGGTAAATGAAGATACAGGGTGATTGGTAATCAGTGTGACAAACATTTTTTTGTGTAAATTAAAATAAAAATAATAATAATTGAAATATTTGTTTTTGACTTTCAGGTATTGATGTAGATATCCTTTATACAGTACAGATACCAGCTATAGGTAATGTATACATTACCTATGTATAGAGAATGTATAGAGTAGTCAATTCAATATTTACTGTAAAAAAAATAATATGATATGTAATAGTACAGTAACTAGCAATACACTTACTAAAACAAAATTTTTGTTGTAAAAAAGAACTGTTTTATATTCATAAAATATTTTTATACTTTATATTAAAATGGCTACCAACCAATACGAAAGTAGGTATAAACCAAGTATGAATCCACGAGTGTAGGATGAGTAGTGCGATCTTGTAGTCTTGTTAGTGACTAAGGCCGACATATTCCTTAGACACAGCTGTTAACGAATAGTCCATACAGCCTACGGCAAAGGGGCCTACAATTAATAGTGGAATCCGATCCACATGTTTGCATTGGTATTAACGAATTGGTCTAATTATCAGGACTGCTGATTGTAGTAGCAATCACTAGTGCGGACGTTAATCCACACAAGGGAGTATCGTATCCACAGTGCATGCCTATAAATATCCACAAATCATGTATTCAAAAATAGTCAAACGTCTAGTGGTTGAAATAGTGTAACAGTTTAATCTTAACCTATCCAAGCAAATCCAGTTGAAATCAAACTGAAGACTCGCTAAGCATCTAAATATCTACGTACATTAACTTAATGAAATCAGTTTTTCACAGTTATTCATAAATAAACTGTATCACTCTCAAAGCCATGTTTCCGTGGTGTAGCGGTTATCACGTCTGCCTAACACGCAGAAGGTCCCCAGTTCGATCCTGGGCGGAAACAATAATATTTTATGTATTTAAGTTTTAGTTATTACACATTTGCTAATTAATCGACCATACAGGAATAAATAAATTTGCTTAAATAAGCTAACTACTCAAAGCCACCTACCCTACGTTTTCATGCCATACTAATTATTATTTATCTGCTAAATATTATTAACGATAACACTACAATTAATTACTACTGCAAAATAATTACAATAATACTGCATAACACTTTTTGTCTTGTGATTAAGTGAAAGGTCTTTGTTTTTTTTTTTTTTTTTTTACATTCACTTAGTTTAAAAAAATTTTAATGCAGACATTTTAATTGGTTCAATTACATTCTAACTTAAGTTTTGGAGATTTAAAAGTTAGGGAAATACAATTGTCTAACGTTTGTGTGCTAAGGTTGTTCTTTATGTTCTTAATAATTTATGATTGGGCCTAAATTGTATATACTCCAAAACCTGGTACTATTTATAAGATACTTTTGGGACGAGTATGAATAAATACTATCAACTAAATACCCCGCCACAGCAAACCGGCAGAATAAGCGACTTTCCACACAACTGACTGATTTTCACTAAAGTATATGCTTTAAAGTTCAGATTTATTTTCTATATAGCTCAAATTAATTATAATGATCACTTATGTTTTCTGTTAGAGGAAATTTCATAAAGTGTGTTTTTTGTGAATTTTTATTGTGCCAAGATCTTTTGACAATCCTAACAACTCTACCTTCACTGACACAAGAGTGAAGTATTGTTAGTTGTAGGTGTTGTCGAATGGGTTATTTAAAATATTATTTGTTTATGCACCCCCGCCCCAGCAAAGCTACAGAGTAAGCGAATTTCCATCTACCTGGCTGGATTTGTACTAAAATATTCCCTGAAAATTTTCAGATTTATTTCCTATTTAAATAACATTAATTTTAATGAGTAGTTACCGATACGGAAAATTTGCTAAATTATTGATTAACGAATAATAAAATAAAATTATGATATACATCGATACGTTAATAATGGAAAATTACGAGTTCACTAAATTTTCCTAACCAAACGCTTATTAATTCGGTTGAAAATTAGTAAATCAACGAATTCCCGACAAAAACTGGCCAATTTGTCAATGTTGTGGCGGTTAGTCAATCGGTACTGCACCTAAAGAAAATATGGGTCAAACAAAAATTAAGTAAAAATATCAAAATATATTTAAAGCTGAGAGTTTGTTGAAGTTTCATAACTCCACTTTTTTGTTATTATTGCTTATTTTTATTGTTGTGCTGATATTGTTATTTGGTTAAATATCAGCTTTCTATTTTTAAAAGATCATCCTGGGTTTTTACCATGACGATTGCCAATTTGCCAACGTTTTTGCATATCGTTAATTAGTACAGCACATATAGAATACGTGGACCAAAACCTAACGGTTTCAAAAGTTTCTGTTTCCGCCCAGGATCGAACTGGGGACCTTCTGCGTGTTAGGCAGACGTGATAACCGCTACACCACGGAAACCTCGTTACATTGTAACTCATACAAACTTATCAATCGTGGCAGATCAAATAAGGTGCAGAATAAGTTGGGTGTATTTCAAGCTATAATATTAGTATAATGTAGCTTGTAGGAAAAGAATAGTGTTTCATGGACACGGACAGCCGATAGTTGAACACTCTTGTTGCAAATGTTACAATACATCATCAATTACTTTCAAATTATAGTTCACATTCATTAAATTCTTTATAATGTGTCATTTTATAACCAAACAAAAAACTACTACCTATTAACAACACATTAAACATTGCTTGGATAGACTTTGTTTTAAACTATACAAAAACGTGTTAGCGCAGTAAAACATTTAATTTGTTAAAAATGTTGTTACTGTTAAAAATCAATTTTTGTGACATGAATTATTTAGATGTAAATAAAACAAAACACACTTTATTATCCTCCCTGTAGCAGTAAACCTAGTAACTCGTTAAACCTAATACAGTATTGTTTAAATATATTTAAAGAAACCCAAATCAGGCAAATTGAAATTCGCTTAGTCAGTAGGTTTGCTTCTCCGGGGGTATTTTTTAAATTTTGTTGGTAATTAATTCTGACTCTAGTTCAGAAAAATGTAATAATATTTTACCAATATAGACTGCATATTTAGGTTTTATTGTCTTTTTTCGGTCCTTCGGAATAATAACTACTGTTAACTTATAGAAGGAAGCATTTAAGAATTTATAGACAATTCATAATTTTTAACAGTTAAAGGGTAAAATCAAACTACAAACTCAGTGTATTTTTATTAAAACATTTTTATATAGTAAAATAATAATACAACTGATACGTCCTAAAATAATACAACAATGTAAAATGTAGTACAAAGCAAATAACAATTTTGTTTTGCAGCACAATCTTACACAAAAAACCCCTTTTACAATAATAACAAAAACAACATGCTTGTAACATGTTTATAATTAATATACTAAGTAAATAAAAACCAGGACTAGAATGTAACTTATAACAACTAACGCTAGAACAATCAAATTTATATCCATGGTGTATTGGAACGCCCCCTTTGTCAGCTTCAAATGGACAACAACTAACTGGTATAATGAAATGAGTGAAAAGGAGCTTACCAAGTTATCCAAAATTCCCATTGTAATAACGTAACGTTTTGTAATGTGAAAGTATGGAAGTTTGTTTCAATTTGGAGCTGGTGTAAAAAGTGCCGTAAATTAAATATATTTAACGTACAGTTAAATAAAAAAGTGCTGTTGGATTTGCAGCTAAAAGGCAATACTTATTTTTTTTTTAATTTTTTTACATAAGCAGTTTTTGTTTTAAAATAGCCACCTTTTACCGACTTTTAAAGCTATAATCATTAGATTAAATACGAAAATGACCCTGCTAAGTTTCAATTTTGTGGCTCAAATTAGCTTTCAGTTGCTAATTATTAATCAGCAAAAAGTATCGATACACTTACGAAATCGATATGTACAAGAACCAGTACGTAATCCAATGAGTATACGTATACGTTTTATGAGTATACGTAATCCAATGACAGAAATTAAAATGGCAAAAATAATGACTAAGCGAGATCCAAAACAATAATCCAGTTAAAATTAAATTTCATCAACATCAGTTAATCAATGAACCAAGGCCTTAATTAATTTCAGTCAAAGCTGTATTCGTACACATTTCGACTCATGGTTACATAAAATATATTTTTCTAAATGCAAGTAACAAAATAGAAGGCAGCAGAACATTGCGGGATATCCTTTAGATTCTTCAGAAGCTATTCAACCGCACTTACGAAATCGATATGTAATGCAATGACAGAAATAAAAATGAAAAATTAGACTAATGATCCAAAACAATAAGCCAGTTCAAATGAAATTTCATCAACATCAGTTTATCAATGAACCAAGGTCTTCCTTTAAAATTTATCAATTAATAAATATATATATACGTAAGTAGTTTGTATAAAAATTTGAAACTAAAATTTCTTAATAGTTTTTGGAACCTTGCACTGCGTCCCTCACAATATTCACAACACTCAGTACGAATGGTTTGATCCATCTTCTACTTTATTGTTGGATTCAAAGTTCTGGCCAAACATAATGTTGTACCTAGGATATTCCTGTTCTGTCACCCCGTACCCTTCTCCAGTTGGATATGTTTGAGGATTGGGTTGGTACGCGTTCCCTCCAATACCTTGCACATTGTACCCTCCAAAATTGTGTTCCATGGAACCATAACTCTGTTGACTCATGAATTCGTTGTATCTCATTTGGTTGTACCCACTTTGAGTAGAGTACTCAGAACTTCCTGAGTTACCGTTTTCATTTCCATAGTGGATGTTTCCGTCACCTTGAGTATAGAGAGCAACGTTTCCAGTTCCATATCCAGTTCCTCCACCGTTTCCGTAGCCAACGTTTCCGTTGCCTTGAGTATATAGACCGACGTTTCCAGTTCCATATCCGATGCTTCCTCCGTTTCCGTTTTCGTTGTTCCCTTGAGTATAGGTGAGCCCGACGTTTCCAGTTCCATATCCGATGCTTCCTCCGTTTCCGTTTTCGTTGTTCCCTTGAGTATAGGTGAGCCCGACGTTTCCAGTTCCATATCCGATGCTTCCTCCGTTTCCTGTGTTTCCTTGATTATAGAGACCGACGTTTCCAGTTCCACCGTTCCCATTTCCGTAACCCACGTGTCCTTCCCCATGCGCATAGGTGAGCCCGACGTTTCCATTATACCCGATACCACCGTTTCCGTTTCCGTTTCCGTTTCCATAGCTCAGGTACGCTTGGTAGTCGGACATCTGTTCAGGTCGGAACTGCGGAGCACTTAGCTGTTCAGCTGGCATGGAAACAGCTTGTCTAAACATGAACATCTGTGGAACCGCATAAGGTTTGGGAATACCTACGGGAATTGCCTGTGGAATCACTACAGGTTTGGCAACCTCGAAGGGAATCGGATGAGGGACAGCGTAGGGAATCGGTTTAGGGACGGAGATTGGAAGAGGGATATTTTTCGTGACTGGAAAAGGTACGGGGACTGGCACAGCTACTGTGTTGGTAACCCTGATGATCTTAACAGCTGTTGGTAAATGACCTCCAAAATTGCCTAGGTTGTAGACGCCTTTGAACACTGTTCCCATGGTGATGGGTGAGAGTAGAGTCAGAGTGAAGATCACCTGAAACGAAAACAAGTATTAGTAAAATGTTTTATCACGTTTTAAACATTGTTTTAACATTGTTTGACATTGTTTTCACATTATTTTGATTATCTTTTTGAAATAATGGAAACTTCACATCAATTACCTCACGAACAATACTATACCATCACAGCGTTGACGTATGGACGTTGTATTAAGGGAGCATACATTTATTCTGACAGTCAAGGTCACACCAATCATTAATGGTTTATTAAGCTATGTCAAAATTATCAAAGTAGTAAGATAAGGTGATTTGAAGCTGACCTTGAGCTGTTAGCCATGCAGTAGAGGAAACGAATAAATAGGTTTTTCAGGGGAGATTTCTGTGTATTGGAGAACTGAATGTGCTTAAAGACATACGAAATTTCTAACTAAACTAGTAGATCTTTAAACGATGAGATAAGAAAATGGTGTTTATGTGATTAATTATATTTCTAGTGATAGGGCAACATTCTTTCAGTAAACTAATTCCCAAAACAAAATTGTTTATATTGCTAATCTAATTTAGTTACCTCCCAAAATGACCATCTTGATTCTATTAACTAATAACGAACAGCTCCTACTCACAATTTTATTTAACAACACTATTGTGATAATTTATAGTAGAAAAGTTACCACCCAGTCTATATAACCGTAAACAACTTAAAAATACTCTAATTTTGCAATCTTTTAGGTAGGTACAAGTTCCTATCGATAAAATTGCATTTCTACCGGTTTTCCATATTTGGTACAAATTCAACATTACTTGTTATTTTAATTGGCTTTCACCCAGAAATGTGCAGACAATGCCACACGACTGGATTGTGGCTGGTTTTAGAAAGGCGTTTGAATTGAATTAGGGTAAGTCGAGTGAAATTTAATTAATTCTGTAGTCAATTAAATTGATTTTTAGTAGATCTACGGTTAGTAAGACACTTTTTTCATAAGCAGTTTTGACTGTAGAATGAAAAAGAGAGATATAAGTTGGAAAAATGACTTAGCTTTTGAGTATCATAGTGAATGTTTCATTTTTATAGCATAACGGGTTTGTTGGAATGAGTGACATACGGTTACGAAAAAGACTATAGGCCATTTAGGTTGATTTTAATTGTACTGTAATAATTAATTTGGTGATAAAGTGGAAGGGGTTAAAATTAAATTGTTAGAACTTTTTTCACTGAAACTATAAATGTGTATTAAACATGTATGCGTATAAGGAAAAAGAGCTGAGTTTAGGTTACCTTTGTATAAGTTAGACTAGGTTAAACAAGATACTGGTTTACAAAGCTTAATATGTAATTATCAAGGAAACAAAAGCAAATTGTTTAGTAATATACTTTTATAAAACGTTGAAAATATTCAGCTTTGTGTTTCTTCTGAAGGAAAAAAGAATCACAATATTTTGTCAATGATTTAATTTAAAATGGTCATGACTATACGAAAAGCCATAGCATATAGAGGGTGGAATAACAGAAAAGGTCCAAACCACATATTCGAGTGGCATTTACACCACACAACTAAGCACAGATGTTATTAATATAAACTTATATACTAACACTTCACCATGTAAATTTTCTATCAATTGGATTTTTAAACGTTTCCTGACTCTAATCCAAGATAATTTCCTGATTTAACTCAATCAAATTACATGGTTTACACTTGATCTTCTACGCCTACACTTCACACTTCATGGTTCATGGTCTGTGGTCTTCTACCCGGCGCAGCATGGTCATTTCCTGGTGGTGCTTTCGACCGGGCACTTTCTGTGTCTAAGACTTTCATAGACAATTACTCAACATAAGTACTATACATGGAATATCTATAAATCTCTTCCCTCCAAACAATCCTTAGTATTCCCCCCTTTAACCGTTTCAAAACCAACCGGGAAAATATTTATTTTATGTTTCATAAAGATTACTTTTTATTGTACGAAATAGTTAGTAATATTTTGGAAATGAAGTAATATACTGTAGTTTATTTTAGACTAGCAGAGTACCCGTCCTTCGTACGGGGTTGGAATATAAGTATAAAATGCTTATTGCAGTTATACTCAAGCTTTGCATTTGCAATAAGGGAGGACACAGTTTGATAAAATTTGCTTTTTTAAATTTACAGTATTCTATAGTATTACACATCTTCCATAGCCATAATGTTCTACCACTTCACCTAAACAATAGAGAAAAATAAATTACCAACAATTCGCAAAATATCACAAATTATTCATGAAATGAAAAACATAAACATAACTGTAAACAATCCTACTTTGACAGTTCTCATTGCGAATCACAGTTTTTTGTTGCCGCTTAGTTCAAATTAGCTGTTTTCATAAATGCAAAAATGTATGGTGCTGCACCCTGTTGGTAAATCTTATAACTTTTTAATGCTTTTCCATATCATAGAATCAACTTTTTTACTTGAAACAGCTGACTAAATTCTTTAATTCCCTTTAAATATGAATACTCATAAGGTTAAAATGGGGAATTACAGAGCCACTGGGGTGGAGCCCGAAAGGATTTTTGAGATAAAAATATGCCTATATGTTAATCGGGAATGTAAGCTATCATCATGCCAAATTTCAGCCCAATCCGTCCAGTGGTTTATGCGTGATTGAACTTCAAACACACAAACAAACAAACAAACTTTCACATTTATAATATTAGTAAGATTACACGTTTTGTTTTTGTATCGTACAGAACCGTATAAATAGTACACCAATAATATATTAAAAATAAAATTATGGTAAAAAATGCTATTAATCATTGCAATAAGTAATTTTAAAAATATTGGTTGTTTAAAAACAGTATTTTGATCATAATAACTAAACTACACAAAGAAATCCTTGGAGAGCTTTATTAAAAATTACTCCATACAAAAATGCTGAGGTATTATTAGAGTGATTTGTAATAAACACACAAAATATTATTAAAAATTTTGTAAAATAATTTTTTTTTTTTTTTGTTAAAAACTGAATGATAATTTTAATGGTAATTTTAAGTTTCATAACATTACAAAAAATTTGAATTTCTTTCGAAATATAACAAGATATTATTCATTTAATAGAATAGCTTTTATACAGTTTTTCAAGATTATTAATTCCCAGGGTTTCTTACGGAATAAATATAGAATTTAGAAAGCTAATAACAATAATTCCTTTAAAAATGTGCATGAGCAATCTAAATCCGGGGCTCTGAATTAGTCAGAAATAATAAAGTAAATAATAACTTGAGTCGAATTAATGAGTTACTTAATTTAAACTTGATTATAATTTTCAACAACTTTACAGGTAGTAAATGATTCAACATTTATGAATTGTCTTAAAAAATTAAGATTGTGAATTAATAATAACTAGTGTACATGTTGCTCGAATTCGAGCAATAATTGCAAAGTATTACAGGAGTCATTTAAAAACGAATAACAGTCATATTTATAATGAGTAAAAGAGTCAACTCAAAGATTACCGGTGTGTAACTCAGACCATGTTTATCTTTGTTATTGATAAGCCATTCCGACCAGTTTTATTCTTCCCAAAATGCCTTGCTGTACAGGCAAAACAGGTCATTGATAGAGGGTCAGTTATTGAGAACGAAAAGTCGTTTTGGGGTATAGCGTTAGGGCGCATTTGTAACCTATGCGCCACTGTTCTGTAGCTGTGGTCGTTATCACGATTCCGCCTTCTGCCTATGTTTCGTTGTCGCGTCGGAGGCATTTAAAAGAAAAAACAACAAATAAACAAATTAAAGCTACACAAAACAACGATAAATGCACAAATTTAAGTTACAATCATGCTAACACGATCCCTCATAGTGACACAAAACAACGATAAATACGCAAATTTAAGATACGACCATACTAACACGATCCGTATTGGGGGTTATGTTTATACAAACTCGTAGTAAATAAATGTACTCAATGCGTTTCATTGAATTGAATAATAAATAACAGCAATTATACTATACAGCTGATCAAAATGTAAACAATCATGTTCTTCATAAGGATAACATGGGAAATTTCAAAGCCACTGGGGCAGAGCCCAAGGGACTTTTAGAAAAATGTAAGGCCAGTTTGCAAATCTACGCGACGCGCTCTTTCCAATGAGACGTCAATGGATAAAATCGGTTAAAAAATGGCGGAGGAGTTCAACCGACAAAGTTTCATGTAGCGTATTAATTATAAAGATTGTATAACACCCCCACATTATTTTGAAAACGAATAGCATAGAGACATACCGTCAAAAGATCTTTGTTTGAAAAATAATTGAACAATGCACTAATACGATAAACTAACCGTATGATCAAAAACTAAAAGGTTTCAGGAATATTAAAGGAGAAACTGTCTGTATGGATCATAAATATAAACAAATGACGTTACTGTCCCATATCTTATACTAATAACCTGAACAGCTGATTTTAACGTGTTCCGACAGTTCCATAAAAAAATAATATAAACATCCTCATATTTGGGCCAGTGACGTAATTTGTTTCTGTTTATGATCGATACCGCTTTTAATAACCGTGATTAAATTAAACAAGGTTATTAGTTAAAAAAATAAATAAATACATAATACAATCAATACGGTTGGTGTTAAGGTATGATTTAAGTAGATTTTTCACGTTTACTCAATAGCGTGAGTATTTTAGTGTGAGGATGAGTGACAAGTTAATAAAATAACAGATTTGTTACAAACTAAAATCAGCTCATTCAATAGCCAAGAACGTGTACTAAAAGCTCAATCAAATGATTAAATACAGTGCTTTGAGGTATAGAATTAAAAGACTGAAGGATACACCTTTGACATCATGATAAATCAATAAATCGTTTATTAAAATGAGAAAAAAATCAATTACAAACCAAAAATACTAGAGAATACTTGATATAAAATAAGAATTGTACGTCTTAAGACCAAATTCAATTCTTACTAGGTTAATAAAAATATTAGAAAATTTTACAAACAAAAGACATTTAAGTTGTTGAAATATTACGAATCGACTCAAAACACGACCAATAAAAATGGAATAAATCCCATCACATAGAAATAAATACAGAATGTTGGGTTTAAAATATGAATCATCGGCCTACTACACGATCAATCAATAATAGTAAATTAAAAATAATATGGTTTAAATTTGAACTTAAATAAGATGGGTCAACCCACAACATGACCAATAGATAAATCTTGAATTTAAATAATCTGAATCAATCGTATACAAAATAAATTTGGAACACTGACTTTGAAATGTCCACAATCTTATAATAATAGAATCACTCACTAATGTATTAATTAAAATGATACGAGTTAATGACAAACAAAAGACATCACATACCGGGAGAGTGTAGGAGGACGGCATGATGGCGGAGAGAGTAGAGCGGAGTGAGTGAATGTGCTTTATACTTCACTATCTCCACAGGAAGTGGTAGGGGTAGAACCTACACTAAGGGTGTTTTTTATTGTTAAGTAACATGAAACAGGATTGGACAGGAAACAGTCCATTTGATTGGTTGTTTTTCTGGATTAGGTTGGTGCAAACAATGGGTCATCGTATCTTTAACTGTTTATGATCAACCATAATTCAATATTTAATGTGGGAAAAAATGAATTTAAAATTATGTGTTAAAACCTTGACTCGTCCTTGAGTTGACGTGTCTTTTGAATCCTATCAAGCTATAATAATATCCTTAAAGGCATTGAGGTAGTTCTTTCACAAAAACAGAAAAAGGTAACGTACAGCAAAAGAAATTTACTACTATGTCATAATTTTCAACAATCATAAATACAACCGATATCATGGTTAAACAATTTTAATTGTGAATCTGAAACTTCAGACTGGTTTCTTGATTTTATAATTTATTTCTTAAACACATATGGAGCTTAATTTGTCTCATTGATTCATGTTACAACCATACGTTTTAAATTTTAATAAAATATAACGATTGACATGATGTCATAAAATAAAGTATGCCCTACTTAAAAACATTTTAACCTTTTATAGGCTACAAAAACCAATCCATCAACTGCATTGGTACGTAAATAATAACATGCATATTTTCAAACATTCTATCCTGACCACATAACTTATTTAACGTTTAAAGTTGCCTTTGAGTTTTTATTTTAACTGTCTTTTATGTCAATTATTAATTAATTCTTATTAACCTTTGCAATGTTATAAAATATTTTTAGTAAAATTAAATTTATTAACATTTTTATTTTTAATGGTAATTTTTCTATAATAATCTCAAAAAATAACAGAGATGTCTGTTTTTTTTTCCTAAAAATTTTTCAAACGGTTTCAATTAAAATGTAGTATTCTATAGTCTTTTAAAGCTAAACTCTATATCACAAATCCTAATGCTGTAAAACAGTTCATGGGGAAACAACAAACTTATCTTTTTCATTAAAAGACCCAAACGAATTTTATTTCGCAATTTTATAATACTTTAAACTCTAATCAAAATGGTGAAAATTACCGTTCACAATTAATTACAATGGTATAGATTTTCCCAGTAAACCCCCATTCCTCAGGTCACCCGTTATAATAATTTTTTTTTTAAAGTGGATGATCAATTTTGTCAATCTAATGGCAGAAAGTATGTGTCAGTTTGCTGATACTGTTTATCAGTATTTTTTACACTTCATCTGCCCTTGTGTAAGCAAATAATACAGACAGTTTGTTTACATAACTGTGATCTCAGCCTCCATTCTTACTTTCACTGCCAATGTCACATCTCTGGCCCGGTTTGGTTTTTGCAAAGTTTTTGTATTGTGCCAGCTAATTATGTGACAGGCACTTGTAGAAAGTTTCACCGTGAACAACTCATCAATTTTATAAATTAAATCGATTAAACTATAACTAATTCTCCTAAGAGATTTACGTAATATTTAATAGTTATTATAGCTTTGCCTTGAATTTGTATGGATTACGAATGGTGATTGAATTAATGGTGTGAATTAGGTATTAAAATAAAAAAATTATTAATAAAAATATAATATGAAATTAAACGAAATAACTTTTACTACGGTTTATTAGACTAATCAGCATCTTATGACAGGCATAGGTCACTAAGTTTTGTCATAAAACATATCAATCCCAAAACTATTATCATTTTGAAGCTGACAAATAATCAAACCAATAGTTTGATTGTTAATACATACGATAATAATACGTACGATACTAATACATGTATTAGATTTGTTTTATAAAAATAATACTAATATTATATAAAATATAAAAATATAAGTGTTGAAATTTTTTCATCCCCTTTTGAGTTAGAAACTGTTAACCTCTTCCTAAAACAAGCTATACCGAATTCACTCTTATATTGCACAAATTTCGAAAAAGTCAAATCCTTCCTGGGACATCTTTAAATTGAACTGATTTCCAAATAACCAAAACAGGGTGTGCAATCTGGTATGGAAAGGCCAGTAGGATCCTTTGAACTTTAGCGTAACTAAACTGGGTGAAAACACCTGCTTTATGCCCTCCATAAACCGCAGTTTATATTCAAATGATCAAAACTTAAAATGTCAAAGGGACGTATTACGCTTGTGATCTGTATCTTCCGGACTATAAAATCGTTACATATTCCTGATTTAGTTGCATAATTTAACACACGCAAGTTTTTATGATGTTCAGATGAGGGAGCGAACTGGTCTAGTGGTTAGAGCGCGGGACTCCGGTTCCTGGGGTCCGGGTTCAAATCCCGCCAAGTCACCAATTGATTTTATCTAAGTGATAATGCCGTACCCCTAGGTCTAGCCTGAAGTAATGTGAAAAACAATTCCGGGCTCGTGCCTAGCGTCCTAGGACAAAAAACAATGATGGTATGGAGAGGTTAAGGGTACGGAAGGGCAAATACACCACACTTGTATTGAGACCCAAATAGAATTCATACCCATCACTATATTGTTTTATAGACCATACTAAAAAAATTCAAGTTTTTAAATGATGTGCACTTACGAACGTCAAAAAGGGACTACTAAATTTGTCATCAAGGTTAACCTTTTATATGCAATAAAATGTATTTAGGGGTTAAATAGGCCTATATCCTACCTAGGCGATCTGAATATCATACTTTTTATTTTATCTATTTATCATTTATTTATTTATCATTTATTTTTTTCGTTTTGCTGTATTTGGTTAGTCCTCGATTACGATACTCTATCAAAGCAGCTGCCAGATTTTAAAGCGTAGATTGTTTACGTCGTACTGGAGCGAAAGCGCCCGTTTTTAATACATGCATTGCTGGTATGAAGTAGTTCTTTCTCTCCCTAGGGAGTAAAAAGCTTGTAAAATTACACATAGAATTGTTTGACTGGCTGTATCTTATCGTCGCATTCAGAAAAATCTGAAATAAGACCGCGTTATTCTCGTCAATATTCTAACATATTGATTCTGCCACACAATATTAACGGACGGTTGAAACACTTAAAACCACTGCTAGTTTGCTTTAACAAAATTAAAAACAAGTTGGAAGTCGTTTTGAAACGTTATATCTTTTTACAAGAAAATTACTTTCGTTTTGTAACTTTAGTTTGCTCAAAATAGAACACTATAACGAAAAAATATAGTCCACCCTACGCGCAAAAGGATCTTTTCAACTCTCGCTCGATTTCCAGAAACTTCAGCTCGGGACGAAAAGAGTTACTTTACGCCCTAGTGGTAAAATTATACTCTTACAACTCCGATACATCAGGGTGCATTTTGGAGTAAACTTTGAGTGTTCAATAAGATGACAGCTTTGTTACAGAAGATCAGCTGTTTGAGGATTACGTGAGACCTAGACACTGACCAGCTGTAAGCAATACTGACTGATACAGTTACCTCCGCTCTTCCTATTACTTTCGCCCATCAAACCTCGGACGTCCCGGCTGACTGGATGTTGATGGCTGATGGTTTGATGGTTGAAGTTGATAGTTGGACAGATGATGGCTGAGCTATTGTTGTCTACGGCCTTCAAGACACTTCAAGGACCGTTAACTGAGGTTATATAACAGGTTAAACGCTATGGAAAATCTTTACTTGTTGTCCCAGAAGCTAGTTCTGACAAAAAATGTTAGGTCAATAACCCCTGTTAACTTAAAAGTACCTACAGCTATACTGACGTATACTGAAGCTATACAGTAGTATGTTTTCTGTGACTAAAGATATAAAAGTATAGAGTCATTAGAACCACCATTAGTTCTGGTTTTAAATAGTATTGTTTTTGTTCTATGTTTTCTATTGTGAAGTTTTCTTTTCGATTAAATGTTGTTGATTGTTCCATTATTTTGTTTCTCATTTTTCTTCATATTGTTAAACGAAGATGTAATATTGCAACATTATTCATAGTCAACTGTTTGTGTAAGATTTTATAGTGTGTGTATCAAAGTATCTTAAAGTTTGTTTTTATTCGGGGATATTTTATAACGTAAATGCTAAAATGTAATCGGATGAAATGCTGCAGTACTTGGAAGAATTTGAATAAATTCTAATATAAATATTTTAGAAAGCTTATGTATCATTTATAGTCGTTAAAAATATAGAAAAAAAAGATCATGAACATATCCCAAATGACTTCATGATCCTTATTTGAGAACTATAAGAGATCTATTTAGGGGATCAATCTCCAGGATGAACTATTAACAACTATTGAAAATACATGAAATGTAGTATAATACACACGAACTTTTGTTAAGTGCTTCTATCTGAGATGACAGTAAATAAACATTCAATCGAGAGTAAACTGACACTCAGCCAAATAGTGATTTACTTCGCTTTAAATTTCCAATAAAACTAATTTTAATGTGTAAGAAGATTTAATACTAATTTAATTGTGTCTTTAAACAATTTTTTGTAAGTGCGTCATTTAGAGAAAGGCTTAGGGATAAAGGTTTTTCTTAATGTAAAAAATAAATGCATGCCTTTACACAGAAGATGGCCATCCTGTAGTGTGAGACTTCTAAGTATACCTATCACAAAAACTCCTCATCTTTGTTGATCACAGACCTGGAATTGTTCGACATATTACTTTAGGTCAGAACAAAATATGACTTCCCCTCAGGACCTTCCAATCCTTACCTCCAGGACCTTCCAGGTCCTTTTTCAATTCATGGTAGACCACAACCCGATCCATATGGTTAAACAAACCATGAGAAACAGCTCCAAGGGTCCTTGTCCTTTTTACCTTTTTTTCATTTTTCACAACCTAGAACTCTAAGCTCTTTTTGCAATCGCCAAACACATTACCGGCACTTTAGACTAAAGCCCATAGATAGCAGAATTATCTTTTAAAATTCTTTGGTGATTGGTGAGATTTGAATCCGGATCTTCGAGGACCGAAATCCCGCACTCTCACCGTAGATTCAGATTTTAGACGGTAGGGATTGGTAATCACTCTAATAGATCGTACAAAAAATCAATTACAATTTTGTAACATAAATCAACAAAACGTAATAAGTCTTATTACACAAGTTAATCACCAATCGTGACATTCCCAATCAATCCAATAAACTGAAGATCAATCGAAGTGCTTCATGGGAGTTACGTGAAAGAGAAATTACTGCAAAGATCAGAGAAATGCTCGGAGAAACAATGCGGTTCAGAGAAAGGTCCGGAAACCATTGAGGAATGCAGCAGGGCGTGCACAGGTCCAAATCCGTACAAACAACAACAACCGAAACACGGTCAACTAGGAAACACCTCGAGTGCCAAGTGGTTACAACGGTCAATTAATTAGCAGTTGTTAGACCAGTTTGCACTTCTTGACGAGTTGCTTTATGACGTGTCAAGAGTGACTGCCCGGCAATATTAGACTTTAATCTGTAAGGGAAGAGTATTAGGGATGTACACTTAAAGGTAACTGCATAATGCAAAAGTTTATGCAGTCTTAATATTTTGTGCAATTAGAGATTATATTAAACTTAAGAAGATGGTCGAATAAAACAGAGGCTAACATGTAGAGTAAAATTAGTCCTAAATGTAGTAATTTCGCCGTTTTTCGTCTTTTACAATCATAAGACAATTAAAGTTGGTGGAATTGAAAAACTGAAAATTTATGGTCCAGTCTTGTTCTATACTCAGTTCACATAGGCAGTTTTAGGAATTGAAATATATTCCTTCCCCTTGATCCTACCTTTGAACCAACGATTCAACAGTTGAGGTTTGTCAAATGTTTGAACTGACTATAGTTCTTTGTGGTAGGAATATTAAGGAAATCATTTATGGTTATGTACCAAAAGGAGGAAGTATCAATCTTACCGCTTAGATTAAATATTTCAAGAACTATTAATTGAATTTTACATAATGTCTGAAATAACCATAGGATTTCTAGTAAAATAAAATAAACTCATTCAATATGAAAATGTTATAGAGTAATTATACTCACCCAGTAATTTTTCCAAGTCGATCCTGAGAAACATCCGTAGTTTTTGATGGTTCGAAATTGTACACAGCTGACCATGACGATATAACTTTTTAATAAATGGCCCTGAAAACCCCGATAATTTCAGGCAGTAACAAAGTTGTCCTTTTATTCTTTCGATACTCATATTCGCCCTGTAATACAAAACCTGTTTTTTATCCCCCCCCTCCCTAGGACGCTTGGATCTAGCTCAAGATTGTTTTTTACATTACTTCACTCTAGGGGTTGTGGCATTTTCGCTTATTGGCAGGATTTTAACCTGTGACCTCAGGACTGAAGCCCTGCGCTATACCACAAGACTAGTTATCTCCCCAATGCATTGCTGGTGTGACGACGATATTACATTGTAACCATTTTATCAATGCTTTCATGATTACAAATGTAATTTCAATTTTTGCTAAAAAAATGGCAAAATCTTCACAAAATAATCACCAAAATTTTTTAAAATATTAATTTAGTTGTTTAGTCAACCTTTCTAACAAGAAAAAATTTCACACAGCTGAAATGTAAATAAAATTGCACTTATCTCTACATTGAAGCTCTCCTATCAAAGTCCAACGGTAATTCAATCTACCTCTTCTCCTAGCCTCTCTTTCTCTTCTATAATTACAATCCACGTGGTCGATGAAACGGACGATATCACAATTCAAGTTCACTCGGCGTTTCCTTTTCAGATTATTTTTTGTCACTGGAAAGCAGTCTCCGGAAGCCTTGGCGGTGTTTGTCGTTTTGCCAAGGTTTTGCACGTTTATGTAAGTCGATTCTCACGACACAGTGTGAAGGGCAAGTTCAAGAGCGGAGTTTTTGTGAACTCTATGGTTTGAAAAATCTACTCTTGAAATTTATGTTGTTTATGAATCTTTTTTAACGTATGCTATTATATGCACAGTTACTTGAAATAGGTATTTGTTGTTTATTATCATTTGCGTATAAGCTTACTCAAACACAGAAAGTTTGTAGGCAACAATATCGTAAGTGATTTTTTTTGTTGTAAACTCCTTGAGGGTAACCATTGATGGTCATTTAAATTTTGCTGGAACTGTTCCTATTGTTTATTCCGATCAATCGTAGCTTAAAAAGAGCACAAAAATAAGGTTGAGCATTTTCGCTGTTATTTTAATTAAAAAAAAACTGATAAATAAAAATTTAATAAGTTCTTACTATGGCTTTTTTTATTACAAATAATTCTTATGGTGTAAAACCGCACAGAAATATACACTAAAAAATTAAAAATTAATTAGTGATTTCAATTAGAACTTCATTTGTTTTGTAAATAAAATATCGAACAATTCCATTATTATCTATTAAGTAATAAACAGAAATCTATAAACTATAAATTTCTATACCAAGAAAGTTCGACTTTAATTATTTATTTATTCTTCCATTGGTAGGGACCAATTTGAAAAAAATGTATCAAGTTGCTTACAGATGAGTTAGAAAAAACAAGAATTAATAATTAAGCATAAAAACAATAAAATATTTTCAGCTGAGGTACTTTTACTTTAGATGGTAAGAAGACCCCTCTTAATACCCCTTCTTAAATAACACAGAGTATAAATGCATCCGATTAATTCATTACCATGTCATATTTTACATACCTTTTACATTGTCCCGGATTGCTCTTCATCTAAGAACCCATCGTCTATAGATTTTATAATGAAATACGTAACCGTCATTTTCATGCCACACCATATTATTATTACCATATTATAACATATTATTAATTTATAAATTTTTTCAGAAAAGATTGCTAAGGACAATATATTTCTCGTCAATGTCAGCAGGATGAGCTGCAGGTTTGCTGAAGAAGGACCTTTCCAACACGTCCTGGCGATGGACACGCCTTCCGTCGCTTCTACCAATTAATCTTGAGTCAATGAAAGGTACACAAAGACACTCTATTTGTTATATATAGACGAAAGTCACTTTCTGTTGTCAGTTGTGTTTTAGAGACGATCTCAGGACCATCCCCTTGAATAATGTATTCACGAGCTTTTCATTTTGTAAGTTAAATTTTATTATTAGTCAAAATATGTGTTTTATAGTGTTTGGTTACTAGAGATATAAGTGGTTTAATAGATTTTTATGTATATGTAGAGGTTAAAAGCTATAAAAATATGCTATATTTCTTGACATTGTCATAAATGAGTTTTTGAGGCAGAATATTAAGAAAATAAGGTAGGTGAGTTTGGCAGATTTTAATTTTCAAAAACTAAATAACTTATTTATCAGCATCGTAGTGATATTAAATAACCTGAAAGCACAAATCTACCATAATATCAAGTTTATCCGACACTTTTCCGCTAATCATCGACGTATTACAGTAGTGATTTTTAAATACTGTTATGTATAAATATTTTCAAACTAGTAAGATTTTGAGAATTATACCGAAAAACCGTTACTAAAAATAACTAATAAGATTTAATTAGGTTCAAATATTTTGCATATTTACAATGGATATATCTTGTTAAGGTATACCTAAATACGACATTTAATAAAACACAGTCAAAAAGTTTCAAACACTTCTGTTGGCGACATACACAAATTATTTCCTAAGCGACTTCCTAGTGTCACATTAAATACCTAAATATTTTCTGATAATTGAGTACTGTAGAAGTATTGCTAAAGTCCATAATGTTTTTTTTATTTTTTAAGATTATTATTTGGGCTTAGATTGTAACTATGTAATTTACTTTTTTATTTTAATACTTCATTACAGGTCTCGGTTCAATTAAAATAATTTATTTCAAAAAATAGTTCAAAGTCTACAACAATCTCATAAATAATAATAATAATACTAATACTAATAATAATAATAATAATAATAATAAATAATACTGTTCTTCTCATGAAGTAACAATTATGATCTATGATAATTAGTAATCTTAGCCGATATCGATGAAAAATTTAAATATGAAATGTATATAAGATAATACATTTAATAAACATTATGTATTTAAGTATTCTAATCAAATCAGTTCAATATGTTTGGTATTTATTCATACACTGACACTAGAAACTGAGACATTTATGTAAATGAAAAAATCTACTAGTTTAATTATATAAAGATTTTCCTTTGTACAGTATTGTAATTTTCTTTCGTCAAGAATCAAAACAAGATATTCTGTAGGACTCCTAATAACGATAAGGATATAAATAACTGAAAAAAATCTGTATATTCTCTATCTATAGCACCTAAACGCCAAATGAATATTTTCATATCCAAGATGCTTGATAAATAACACATTTACACATACAAACATTTACTTTATTACACATTTACTTTACACACATTTTCTTTATACATTTACAATAAAAACTACCCTTTCTTGAGGGCATTTCTGTCAATGATGCATCAAAAACTAAAATTCCATCTGGAAACATACTACCGAAATACAAAATTCTACATGAAAACACTGTTTTTGACGCAGCTAATGTATTTTTTGTTAATTTGGCTGAATAAACGGCTTATGACTCATGACTCTTTTTAATAAAATCCGTAAGGTAATAATGTGAACTAATTTTTAATACATACATTATGTTTAGGTATTTCTTCTCTCTTTGGCGGCTCTAGTCAGGGCTGAGGATAATGAAGATGTCAAGGATACGAAAACTGCAGTGAAAAGAGGAGTTAGAGGCCTTACAGGAATCCCTGGTGTTTTGTAAGTAGAACAGATTCCAAAATCAATTATTCTAGTTAGAAAAGTTTACGAAAGTGAAAGCCACATAGAATGCAAAAATTACATAATTGAAAACTAAACCATGCATAACCCATAAGATATTGTATCTCTAAAAAGTATCAACCAAACTGCTAAAAAATTATATGTCAAATTTAATATGTAATTTGGTCACAATAGTGTTTTGAATGCATTATGGAGACATATTGTCTAAGAAATGTATGCATTTCGTTTTAAAACACAAATTTGTGCACAACCCACTTTCACCAATGTTATTGTTTTATTCTTTCACGAATTGTGTATGGGTTGTGCACAGAAAATTTACAAATATTACTTACAGCAGGAAAGTTATTCTACTTCATAAATTTGATATGAAATAACTATTTTACGGGGGTTTGTTTAATTTGTCATTTTGCTAAGGCTTTAACAACTGAGAATCTTGTTACCTTTTCTCAACTAAACAGTAACCGATTAAAATCCTTATGGGCACACTTAAAGATAACAGTTACGTTTCCTAATAATTTATTGCTGAGATTTAATAATATAATTGAAATCATCATATTTTAATTGTAAAGACATTGAATTAAATATGGCTGGAAAAGTGCAAATGATCAATTACACTAATTTCAGTAGCATTCATATGAAAAATCAGAGAAGTTCACTACCTTTATATAAAACAAGCAATTTTGTTAAAGTATAAGACTATACATAACAAAATTACTATTTTATCACGATCAACTATACATAGGGATGGGAAAAGTAGGCAAGCAGTTGTAAATAACCGTTCATATGTTTTCCAAATTGTTCAAGGGGTAGAGGTGATTTGCATTTAAGCACACTGAGAAGTTCAATTCCCTGATAATTGTCACTATTTGATATGTAATAAAGGTTTTACTATTCGCAATCAACGTATTCTTAGCAAAAATGCAACTGTCCTCTATGCAAAAGAGTTTTAACTCTTAAGATGATACTTAGACTGTTTATGTGGACCTATTACAAAGTACAAATAACATATGAACAATGCTTTATATTAACTCATCGATGTACGTTTTACACAAAAATTTGATGGTGCCTTATTCGTCGAATTTTTGAACGGTTAAAGTTTTTGCAAAAGACAAGTTTTTAATTTTTAATCACAATTTCACATGAAATGCATATATTGTTTATAACAATGATATATTAGTGAACCAACAACTTAAAGTTGATAAAACTAAAGTTGATTGACTAAAATAAGATAGTTTCTTAACTATTACCGTTATTACTAGTTTTAAACCAGTATATTAACTGAAGTTTCTACTGAATTTAAAATGTGCCCTTATCCACCCCTATTTTACACAATATGATAGCTTATATTACAAAAAGTTATTTTGGTGCAGATACAGCCAGTACTCGCCTCACGTACACACAGTCCCAGTACCACAACCGTACCCGGTCCCCGTCCCACATCCGGTTCCGGTCCAGGTTCCAAGACCATTCCCGGTGACGGTCCATAAACCTGTGGGACTTCCAGTCCCAGTTGGAGTCCCAGTTCCTGTCAACGTCCCGGTGCCCAGACCCTACCCGGTCCCGGTCCCGGTCAACCTAGCCCAGGGACCTTCTGGTCTGGGGTTCGGAAATTTCGGAGGAACCTTCGGACACTCGGGAGACTACAACTACGCTGGAGCTTTCTCGCATCTGGGACTTCAAGAGGCGTATGGTGGAAAGTTGGGCTACGGTTTGGGAATCTACGGTGGGGCTCCTTCAATCCCGATGGCACATCCTGGGCTGGCCGCTGCCTTAGCGTCCCTGGGCTCCGCCCCATTGGGTCATCCAGGGGTCCCGGAACCTCATATGGATCCTCACAGTCAGAAATACTAGGTTTATTAAGTGCTAAGTTTACAAGTTTTTCGAAATAGTGATTTTTCAATAACAGTGTATTAAGTATTTTACATAGTTTTAAGAATGAACATTTTTAGTATTCTAGGGACCATAACTGTAGGTTTAATTTCTGAGTTACGTCACCCAAATTAACTGGGGATAAGCCCAAAGTGCTGCCATACATTAGCCATGAACATACACTAAAAATACATTTATTATACATTTTATTTCACAAGTAAATATGGGGGGCTACCTCTGGATTTTTAGTTTTCAGAGAAGCGTTTGCAAATAATTATTTATTTACCACTGTACGTTTTGATTTATTTTATAGTTCCAAATTTTTCTCTCTTCTGTGTAATTATGAATACTGTCTGATTCAAAAGATTTTACAATATTATACATCATATTATTTATTATAATCACTCATTTTAACATTCAAACGTAAATCTGATACTAATTATTTTCTTATTGTAGTTTATTTTAAACTATTTATGAATACATATTAAAAATAATACTTTTAACACACACACAGTAGTTCGTGTAACACACGCAAATAGCTTATAACCTGCATATAAATGGCAGGACATGTAAAAAAGTATTTTTGTGTTTTCAATTATTATATTTATATTTGATATTTTAAAGAATATTTTTGTTTTTATTCAAAAACAAAGTCAAGGATTAATTTTAGAATTAACAGTTACATTCTTAAAATATCAATACGTATTTATATATGACACGCAAACGCTGCTGCTACCTATCGGAGAGTTGTAGAATACAACTAGTTACTTTTACATTCTCCCGCTAGACTGTGCTATTACTATATACAAATTGCAATCCTTTTGTAAAATCCAGAAAACTGTAACTAGGGTATAATAATAAATAGTGTTCTTGTTTGGTTAAATCAAAGTGTATTATTATTGGCTTTGGCCACCCATTGAAAACTAGCACCTTATCAAATAAATAGTTTATCAAATGTTTTCGATTCAACTGTTGGTTATTTTTGTATAATAGGCCTATATATTCCAAGGCACAGTTTTGATATGTAAAAAGATGTATATGACATTTCAACATTAAATAAAACTTAACTAGATTCCTTAATGTATTTTATACAGTAAAAATAGCCACCAATATTTTTGAATTAAAGATTATTATAGGTTTCTTCGAAATAGGAGACTGATATAAATATTTTACACCCCTGTATTCAATTTCACGTGAATTCATTAGACTCATAATTAAACTGTGAATAACCTTAAAAGTATTATTGTTAGTTGATATGGTCTTTATAAAATTCCAACAAATAAGATAATATTTTTAAGCATAATAGTTTTGTTCCTTTACCTTTCACAAATTACATAGTCATAGCATTCTCTGTCGAAAAGTGAATAAAGAAAATTTTATGAATGTATACATTCTTGATATTTATAAACAAAATACTGTAAACTGCAGTTACAAACTCCACAGTCACAATAAAAATGTCAGTAAGCACTCAAAAGTTTCGACATTATTTTTTGCCATTTACTGAACACGTATTATTTAACGTCTAAATCTTAAAATTATGTCATTACTCTACCTTATCGTCTCTATCTCATGTTTGTAGACGAGCTTATCACTATATCATTGGTCAAGCTTCATTTCTTACGATTACATAGCTCCTTTTGAAACCTCCATTCACCTATTTGCCTTATAAGTAAATAAGCACATAGAGATCGGTTAGTTGCATGTACTAAAACAAAAACTAACTTAAATGTAATGATATAATTCTTAGAGTTCGTAAATAATTTCCCTTCGTTTAAATTAAACCATGTTTTACAGTCTTAAGCATCACATTGTGTTAAAGCTAGGTGAATTATCACACTTTATTCCAACCCTTTCATATGAAATATTTAAGTAAAATAATTCAAACTTTTGCTTTATAATATACTTTTACCACTATGATATGGTAATTAATATTTTAAGGCTTATTCCATAAATAAAACAAAATAAGAAACGCAATACCGGTTTTTCCATTAAAACTTTGTAGTGAATTTAAAACCTACAGCAAAAGAGTCTCCATGAATTATTAAAATTAAGGGACTCATAGTATAAATGTATGTACTACGAATGAATAAAATTTTCTTTATTTCCGTGAAATTGTCTCTGAACCATTAAACAACTTTTAGATTTATTTAATTATTGAATTCATTTCCCCATGAAAATATTGACTTGTTTAATTCAAGAAAACGTATTTTCTAATTTTCATTCTTGGTCTTCTGGTGAGAACCATGTCAAAACAGTATTATTTACAATAACTAAAAACCAGATTTTTCGCCGATTCTATACCATATAGCATCCTCAGTCACAAAGCTATGCTAACCTATCTCAGTATTAGCTTTCGCAGTAACTTCTGGTAAATATTTTATAAACAAATATTTACGTGGCTCAGGGACGACCAAGAATGTAGTGCCGCTTGAATTTACGAGCATTTTTGAATGTTCAAATACATTCAAGTCCAATTTGTATAATTAACTCCAATGAACGCTTATTTTTCTTACCATGCCTCATTGTTTCCACAGAACTCTACTGTATTTACACAATTAGAAACTTGCGATTAAAGCCTACAACGATTATCACGACTTCACAACTCTTCTACAATGTTGTCTACTCAATCACACATACCTTCGCCTTTTTAGAACTACCATCTTGTCAAGATGAAGCCACTAACACTCTTGCTCGAGACTTCAACGCGTGGTATGACTGAAACCTGGAGACTTCAATGAGTGGTATTACTGATGCTTGGAGACATCAACGCGCGGTATGACCGAAGCGCTCAGCTCCACTTGTCTTTGGAACGTTACCTTCCATAAGTCAGTGTGGAGGAAATGTTACTCAATTTTAAGTATTCAGAGCGCAGTTGTCGTTCAATGTGACATTTTCTGGTTGAAGTCCTCAGTGAAGGGAGATGTCCTCGTGTGTATCTGCTGCCGCTAAAGGAATCTTGTCTGGAATTAACATTCTTTGACATCACCGATCTCATTGGTCTCCCGTATCTGGTTCAAAGTGACGCACTAAACATTGACTGACAGGACAACCTTGTAAATGCAATATACTAATTTATTTCTTGTCTCATTTGTTTTTAATTACTCTTGGCCATTCGTGGTAAGAAAGTGTCTCTGGTGAGTTGGTAACTCAGACGGTAATGTAACGGACGAATCAAAGACAGTAATGCACTAAGGTATCACAATTAAAATATATCATTACATTTTATACTTGTTGCTACCACATTGCTTTTCAATTCGTTTAACACACAGTACTGAGACTGGCGTGAACCGGAAAATGTAATGTTACATGAGACCACAAGGGTTTTTAAATTTTAGCATAATCTTGCGTTTGAAACAATGAAAGCTTCAAAGGAACATTTTTCTAACAAACATCCAATTACATAATATCTCTAAAATGATCTTAAGAAAAATCATTACCATACATTTAAAAATTATTTTACACATTTTTAAAAAGATGATACATTGTAAGAAATAGTTTTGAAAGTTAATATCTAAATGATATTGAATTAAAAGAACTAGTAAAGCTACTGAAGTAGGCTACTTATATTTCAGTGTTAGGACTAAGCTCTCTCAACAATAATAAATGTTTCCTATTCCGTATTAAAATAAATAATAGCACTCAATATTTACCGTAGTCTTTTAAATCGTCCTCAACGGCTCTTTAGCTATCTAAAATACCTTTGATTAGTTTGCAGCCTAAAAACGTCAACCGGGAAATAATTTAAGCACTTTCGTAACTAATGTCACATTAGTAATTTGCTAAGAGTGTAGGAGTTTTGCCAACGGGTATCAGGTAGAAAGATTACGTGCCGGAAGCGACCGTGCCAGAAGCGACCCAGCAAAAATCGTGCCAGAAGCGACCCTGGTAGTAGCGTGAGTGCCACTAGCGACCCATTGTTTGATAAAGGGTTTTACAATGTTTTGTTCAAATCGGTGTTAATGGCTTATAAACAAATCCTATTCTTGTTATAGTAATATGTACCACCTGGAAGAGCCCAATATTCGCCTAAAGAGCTGTTTTAGCATCTCTAGTTACCAGCTGCTAGCATAGACTCGAGTTATGTGTAGTAACTTAATAAAACAATTTTTCTTGAATTTTTATCATTTTATAAAAGCCAAATATAATCAATTAACTTATCTTTTCTTTATTTTTCAATTTATTAAATAAATATGTAAATATGAGATGGTGGATGTGTGTTTGTATAGGTCTACTACTTAATCGCACGGGAACCACTCAAAAGATCTAAATAAAACTTCACATGGAGGTAGTTTATCAAATATAATCAAAATAATGTTTATTTCAGTAAGTAAAATACTAAGTTACAATACTTTGTCAGTACATATTTTATAATTATGCCATAGTTATGTAATAATATACTGACATAGTCATTAAATATGAAATCCCCCTCACATAGTCTACTGTCCGTGCGTGAGAAATTTCCTCTATCAGTAAATAAATATTCTAAATTGAAAAAAATAGATATTTATAAAACGCTAGCTGTGGCCCGACAGACGTCATCCTGTCCTAATGTGGTTTTATGGCAAATGCTTGTTCATTTTCAAAATTCAAAAAGCAGAAACCATTCGAATCGTCAAACTTTGGATTTTTTCTACTAGCCTATTTGGAGATAGTGGCTTCTTGGAGCTTAATGAAGTTGACGTGTTAACAATTATTGTTAACATATTATGTTTGGATTAGGATTTGAAATAGATAGTTGGACTCTTTCTTCAACGTCCTGCCTGTTGTAAAGCGTAGGCCTAATTACAACAGCTTGTTTTCATTTGACTATTTTATTTCATTTCATTACGTTTAAAATGGCTCTCCGATGTTTATAAATGATTCCTTCCCTTCCCCCAAATTTACTGCATAATAGAAGTAATTGTATTTCCAAAACATATTTCGAAACTGAAATGAAATACTGAAATTGATCTTTAGGAAATACATATTTCAGTTCAGAAAAAACAGCCAATCAAATAGGGACTTTCATAATAAAAAATCAACAGTCTGGCTACAAAGTTTTTTTTTATTTGTGTAACAATAACAGTTGGAATTTAAAAAAAAAACAAGTATGTATAAAGAT